AATGTTTGGGAAAGCAATAATAAATACTACAACAGGGATTCCTACTATTGTAGGAGTGATAAATGAGGTAAATAGATTTTCGTTCATTTTATTTCACATGAGTTTTGGGTGGTAGTGGTTTTGGAGGTTTTAGGGGAGGGGTCATAAGGATAATTAAATTTTGTTAGGGTTGTTTGGAATATCATTTTAAAAATCACTTGGGAATCAAGCTGGCACATCTCTGTTATGGTGGTGGTAGTGGTGGTGGTGGTGGCGGTGGCGGTGGCAGTGGGTGGTGGTCATGGTGGTGGTGGTGGTGGTGGTGAGGATTGAGACCCAGATGGGCCCTTGGGAGCCCAGTCTTTGTCTCCACTCCCCGTGCTGCCCTGAGCTGCTCCCGACCGGGGTTTCTGTTGCAGACGCTGCAGGACGGCCATATGTCTGGAATGCGGATGGACCGGGGAGTATCTATGCCCAACATGTTGGAACCAAAGGCAAGTGCAGATCCCCTCCTTCTCCTCCTGCAGGCAGGATAGGCTGGGGCAGAGCCTTACACGTTTCTGCCTTTTCCAATCTTTTCACCATCTCTGAGGCTTGTGCCCACTCTGTTCTGGGCTGGTGCATTCAGGCAAGACCGTGCACAAGGAATCTTTCCATGCCACCCGTGTCTCCACACTAGTTTGGTGTGTCATCCCCTAACTGTGAGATCTATGCGGTGGGGGGAACAGTGACCTCCTGTCCCTGTGACCTGGACATTGACTGATCAATGCAGAGGTCTTGTTAGAGGCAAGGAGCTGCAGCCTGCTCTCACATATTTCGGGCATGTTCTCAGGAGCCAGTCCTTGGAAAGGACATCAGGTTTGGGAAAGTAGATGGTCATCAAAGGAGAGGAAGCCCCTCAGTGAATGGACTGACATAGGGCCTGCAGCAGTGGGCACAGCAGAGATTGTGAGGATGGCGCAGGACTGGGCAGATTTATAACCTCTGGTACGTCATAGGGCCGGTGCAAATGAGGATCAACTTGATGGCACCTAATCACACCAGCCGTGAGCATTGTAAGGTGCGCCCAGTGCAGGAGCAGAGTGCTCCGCATAGGTGACCGAGTTGTCCCGATTCTCCCAGGATTTTATGGTTTTAGCCCTGAACACTGTGCATCCTAGGAACCTTCTCCCGAGCAGACCTCAGTTCCAGAAACATCCCGTATGTCCAGAGGTGTCGACCGGCTTGTGTACCCTTGTGACCAGGCTCATTTCAGTATGTCAGCTCAAGGACACTGCTCTCTGGCTCTGAGAGTCATGACCCAGCCACGGGCCGAGATGATTAAACCCTGAAAAAGTGATCTTACTCTCTAGTATCTGAGCTGTCTAGCTGCATCGTGTGAAAAAAATGGTACCCATAATTTTACTTCGCTCTCTTGCTTTTTTTCTCTGTACATGTGGTGAAATAGCTAACAAACCATTTGCCATTTTAATCATGGTTTTGTGGTGTTAACTATGTACAGAGAAAATAAAACATTGATCCTTTCAATATTTTCACATGTACCATTCTATGACACCGATTATGTTCACGCTTATGGCATTGTCTGATCACCAGCGCGATTCATTCCCAATCTTTTTCATCAATGTTAGCAGAACTTCTATAGCCTTTAAAACAACCAGCCCTCTCCTCTGCTTACTCATTCCCAACAACCACTGACACACTTGATCTCAGCGCATTGGGCTAGACGACCTGTTTCCATTGGAGGGATGATGCCACATGTCTTTATATGGCTGACTCCTTTCACTCAGCATAACATTCCCAAAGGTTCATCTATGTAGCGTGTACTTCATTTCTCTGGTGGATAATCCGTTCACTTGGAGTTTTCTCATCACTCCTGTGCATAGTACGTTTGTATTGTTTGGGTCCAGCAAACTTTCTAATGGGACAGTGCTGCGTGAGACCCTTGTGTAGGGAGCCAGAAATGTCCAAGAACGTCCACCAGGGAACTTGATCTGATATTGACGAACACCCATCACTCTGAGGTTCTAGTCAGGATCTCTCCCTCCCGGTAGAACCAGCTTCGAAATGGATTTAATCCTTGTTCACAAAATAGATAGGACTATTCTAGAAGAGGTGTTTTTGTTTTGTTTTTTATCAGATATTTCCATACGAAATGCTCATGGTGACCAACAGAGGGCGCAACAAAATCCTAAGAGATGTGGACAGAACCAGGCTGGAGGTAAAAAAACCAAACCCCACAACACACAGAATAGTCCACTCCCACTTGCAGTTTCCTGTCCTTTCTCACCAGTTTTCCCTCCAACATGTTTCATTTCTTTAGTGAAAGCAAACATGAAATGAAATAAGAAAGGAGCAACCTGATATTTTAGGGAGAACTAAGAACTGTGGCAGGAAAGCCATACTACATTTAAGAGGCCAGTTTTGACTGTACCTGGTAAATCACAGAACCGCCCAAGATCCACCTTATCTCTTTAGCCACTTTCTCTGGAAGCCTGATGCTGTCCCGAGTGTGGCCTGTGGGAGGGAGGTGAGTGTCCTCTGCAGAAGTCCCCAGATCCCCCCTGTCCGGAGGGAGGTTTACACATGAGAAGTATCTCTCTTGGCTGTTTCCGCATTCCTTGTGAAGGGTTATTTGGGTCCTCGTACCCAAGATCCCCTTAGACATGGAAGACTGATCTTTATTTTTTTCCATCCGAATGATTTTAATTGAAAACTCTGGTTGCCAGCCTCTTAAAAAAACTTACTTTTCTCTGGCAAAGGCAGCACCTTTTGCAGAAGAGGTTAGCCTGTCCAGAGAACAAAGACTCCTGTATCTCGAGGGAGCTCTCCTGGGAGAATGGACGGTGGTCTTCCCAGTGAACCCTGGTGCCCACCTGAGCTGTTACTGCTGAGCCAGGAGAGAGCCGGGGACTCCCAGAGGACTCCCCAAAAGCTCTCTTGTTGCTACTGTGCATTTTTCTTGTATCTTCTCACCATCCCAGGATCCTGAAGTGGCGTCACCTCCAGCATAACAAATCACTTCCCATACCCCTCATTCTGAGTCCTGGTAGTAATATAGATTAACCAGCGGGCGGTCAGCTAACAGATCAGTGTTCTGAACCTACCACCTACTATAAGGGACATATAAGATATGGCTGTCCTCTTCCGTAAAAATGTGCCCCCTCAGGAGCCCCACACTTCTGCTCTGCTCTATGTCCTTATGAGTTGAAATCAGTCAAACATCAGTCGATTTGGGGTATACTCAGATGGTAAGAGATGGCTTGTTCTCAGCTGCCATCTGCCACGTTGGGGGTTGGAACCCATGCAGTGAAGCTGGCAAAGATCTGACAATTCAGAATTACATTTTTCTGTAAAAATTACAACCCAGAAAACCCTTTGAAGTTCAGCTTTACTCAAGCACGTGGTGTTGCTGTGTATCAGAATCAGCTCACTGACAATGGGCACCATTTTTCCGTTGTTGTTTTATATCTATAAAAATCCCACTGTTCAATGGGGTTACAGTAATTATTACGCCTCGGCAGGCTCTGTTACCTGGTGGGAGGACACCCCACCTGGCCTGCGCAGGACTGGAGGTAAACGCCTCTCCTCTAGCACCCCTTTCCCCTTGCACTTGGAAATGATACTTTGTGAACTGGAGAAGAACTTCCAGAGGCGCATGCGCGCGCGCGCGCACACACACACACACACACACACACACACACATCTGAACTGACCCCTGATCTCTTCCTCCCTTCACAGCGTCACCTGGCCCCAGAAGTGTTTCAGGAAATCTTCGGAATGTCCATACAGGAGTTTGACAGGTTACCTCTCTGGAGACGCAACGACATGAAGAAGAAAGCAAAACTCTTCTAAGTCCCATGTGGAGGCGGCAGTTAGGAAAAGGTGGGACCGTGGCAGGGATGCATAACAGGATTGTCATGCAAGACCCCCAAACCCAATTGGAGAATTTGCAAACAACTGTTCCTTCCCAACAAACACAAAGGGGGAACATCTGATCAGAACACCCATGAGCCAACCCTTGGGCCAACCAACAGCAACACTTGCCAAGAAACAACAGGGATCGGCTTGTCTGTGTTCTCAAACTCAGCAGGAAGTGTTCACGTGTGACACTTTCACCTGACCTTCCGTACAACAGGAGCCACAGTCCTTCATTTTTCCGTGACTGTCGTCCAAACGTAGTGCCGACTGTAGGGACAAGAGCCAGCAAGTGCCCTTAGAATGCCGCTTGGAAGAACACAAACACACACTATGGGACTCATGTCCCCAGGAAGAACATGCAATCAGTAGCGCTGTGGCTTAGGGAGAAGGAGCCCGAGCTCATCCCCGTGGCCACAGGCATCCTGCACGAGCTTTTCTTGACGGCCCCGTCTCTCTGCCCACCCTGGGCCAGGAGGGGAACAGAGGGTCAGCAGCCTGGCAGCTCTGAGATCCTGCAAAGCTGTCTTTGACACTCTCCTTGTTCACTACTGTTTGTTGGGACCTAATTGGCAAAGAGCTTAGCTATTATTCCTTCTTTCTTTTTTGTTGGTTTTTTTTTTTTGGTTGGTTGGTTTTGTTTTGCTTTGTTTTGTTTTAAGACAGAAAATGGAATGAGAGGAAAAGCTCCCTTTACAGTTTTTTTTTTGCTTGAAGTAGTGCGCTTCATTCTCCCTCCCCACCAAGAAGACGGAGGTATCTTGGGCTCCGACTTTGCAGAGAAAGGCAAGGGGGAGCGTGTTTCCAGCATGGCCGGGTTGCATGCTATTAAGTGACGCTTGCAACCATGTTTGCCTGGGGAAACTCTTGGCAAGAAAAAAAAAAGGTTTGGTGTCCTACCCATGCGAGCTTTCCAGCCTGGCGCCCTGCTAATCAGATCGAGCTCAATGCTGATCTGTTTATTAAGGTCGGTTCAGGACCAGGCTCAGCAAAGGCACTTTTTTTTTAATCTGGTCAATCCCTGCAACTCCAAAGTAGATTGCTTGAAATGGATTTTAAGTTGACCTTTTCAGCTTTCCATCTTGCTGAGACGTGCGTGCGTGCGTGTGTGTGTGTGTGTGTGTGTGTGTGTGTGTGTAAGAGAGACAGACAGACAAAGAGACAGATACTCAGCGAGGGAGGCTGTGTTATTCTGTATCTGCTCTTAGCGTCACTGCTGCTCGAACGGTTGCCCCACTGTGCCCAACCTTCTATGGGCGTCTGCGTGCACGCAGGGCACACGACTCAGCTGTAGATGAGGCTGAATGCCACCTGCTCCGTGGAAGGCTGCGCGTGCTTGGCTGCCAGACACCCATCTAGCTCATGTCAGCATCAGACTGAAGACCAGGCTGTGTGTGTGGTCTTCAAAACGCAGCACAGGATTCAAATCAGAGCCGAGGCTTTTGCCAGTACGTGAACATAAAGCTGCCAGTGTGATTTCTGAAAGCCTCTCACTGTGACTCAAACGAGAAGTAAACCAGATAAGGGTAGGTCTCTCCAGTCACACACCCAGAAGAAGAGAAGTCAAGACACCCTTAGCCTCCTCCATGGGGCCCTGCTTAGGAATTAAAGCTGCTTTAAAACCAAAGGAGAAAGCCTTTGAATGTGCCCGTGTTCATCACTGATGGGAGTGCAGAAAGTCTTCCAGCTGGCACCAAGCACTGGGATGGCTGGCTGGCTGATGCTGTTGGAGGAAGACAAGGAGACTATTTCTGGAACCCTGCAGACTTGTAACTCGCGTCACACCGAGGGCCGGAATGCATGGATGCAGTGACGGCTCTGCACCCATCTCCTTTCTGCTGCAGGGAGATGTGTTGGCTCGCCTTCTCAGTGCTGTGCGTAGAATGTCTAAGGACCGTGCTCACACCTTTGTGTGTGCTTTGGACTGGGGAGGGCTGAGGAGCTTCAGCCAGCCACGCTGGACCCGAGACCCTTCTGCAGCATGTAATGTTGCCCCCCTCACACGTCACTTGCCTCTTGCTTCACCCGACATCTTTGCTGTCTCATCTTCCCTCCGACCTGTCCTACATCAGTCACCTCAACTGGAAGGAAGCCTGTACGCTCTGTCATGGGGGCCCTGCCCTGCATGTTTCTTGTGTTTGAGAATGTGTGGAGGGTGGGACGTGGTGGCCAGTCTTTCCCTAGCGTGGTCATTCAGTGGTGGTCAAGTGGACCACCGTGCCGTCCCCCCCAACGCCCCACCTCTGCTGGCAGAGAGAGTCTTCATTGTGGAGACAGCAGGGCTCACTCCCCCTGAGCATTTCACCAGTTGAGGAGGTCTGTCCCCAGCAGACCTGTGCAGGTCAGATGTCAGTGGAGGTCAACCCCACACACCATGGGCACAGTCAGGAGATTTTGCTAAAGTCCCTGCTCGTCATTTGTCATTGGTCTGTGTAAGGAGCTGTGTTCTAGGATCTAGACTTCAGACTGAACAGAAGGGGCCCAGTCTCCTTTTGTTGCAGAGATTCAGAGTTCAAGTCTGTAGCTGTGATACTTACAAGGTCTAAACCTTGACTCTGCTCCCATTAACAACGCTACTTTTTCTTGTCTCGTTTGAGCATCTCTCATTCCATATCCAACTTCAGAGTGGGCAGACACACAAAAACTTACTTCCATATCAAGTATCCAAGTTAATATGAACTACAACATGCAAATATGTGTTGCCAGACAGCACAGCAGGCCCTCTTGGCTGTGTGCTTTGGGAGGGACAGTGGCTCCCAGCAGAAGGCACTAGGTGGGAGAGAAGGTCACAGGGCAACAGGCTTCTCCCAGCCGTCCAGTAGAAGGTATGGCTGTCCTGCCGTCTCCCTGATGTCACCCAGGCTCAGCATGTCCTCCAGTGTCCACGTCCTCTGCTGCCATGGGCCAGCAGATGCCTGTTTTCTACTTGCAACCTGCCCCACCCCACCCTCAGCCTTCAGACTGTGAGCACCGCTTAACAGGCGAGGTTCGCTGGGGAAGGAATTCTGTCCCCAGCGAACTTCCCTTTGTGTTTCTATAAAGGGCTACATTCTTGAGCATTTGATGAACTCATGACTCTTTAAGATCACCCTGATTGTATAAAGTCAAAGAGGCATATTCTGCAATGGGGAATATGTGCTCCCTTTCACGTTTCTTCCCGAAAAGCCAGGCTCTCACTCTGTCTTCCCATATTGTGTCAAGTGATGAATGTTTGAGAAGTGGAACGCAGCTCTGCGTCCACATTTAGGTTGGGATAGGTTATGAGGTGTGCTTAAAAGGACGCATGGCCATCTAAAGATAGCCTGCTCTCTGAAACCTCAAACAGAAAAGATAATAGATAAGGAGGTGCAAAAAATGGGGGGGATCCTTTTCTACCTGTTCTTTCCTTTAGATTCCCTACCTTCTCCTCCCCCTAGAAGTCAGTCCCTTCCATTTTCCTCTAAGTGAAGGCTGGAAAGTTCTCTTTCAGCTCATTCTCTCCTCAGTCCAGGTCTATCGACCAACTCAACTTGGAACTGTCCAACCAGTAAGGTTTATAAAACTTTCAACTAGTCTCTTTACACTTTGGAGCAAGCTGCTTTTTTTCTAAACAATTGCCTCTCTGATGGTATAAAATATATATGCTTGTGCAAATTTAAAAAGAAAAACCAATCACATGAACTGCTTTGGGCTGAGTAAGTCTTTTTTAAAAAAAATGTACACTTAGTGCCAGGCTTCTCTGATGCGTCATCGAGGCCTCGTCATGGATGGTAGTGGAAGGACAGGAACTCCATGCATTCGCCCTACTGTGCGCTCGGAAGCAAGCTCAGTTTTCATTAATCACCTCTGGAAACCATTTCATCTGTCCTTCCAATGCCAGCGCTGCCTGCATTTGAATTTTTAAAATGCTTTTCTTTGGAGGAGCCAAGCATTTTATCAGCATGCCCTAAAACACACCCTTTATTGTTCTTGTTTCAAAGACCTTTTTATTCACAACTCAGTTTGCACTGATGCTGCATCACAGGGAACTGCGTAGCAGGAAGGGAGAAACTCTTCTGTGGGGCGTATTTTTTAAATTGCCAACTTTCCCCTCTGCTGCCCAGGGAGCCCTGGGGAGGCTGTGAGCGCCCAGGTGGATTTTGATAATTTTAATTTGGCCAGGTTTAATTTGCAGAAAACCCCCAATGAACAGGTAAAGGGGATGGTCAGTTAAGACTGAAAGCAGCTTTCCAAACAACAGGTGTGTGCACAGTAAAATTTAAAGGACTTCAGACTTTCCTGACGCCGAGTGCAATTGAGGAGCAATTGTTGTCATGAAATAAGACTGTTCCCCAAAGAGAACCAGATGTTCGTGTGTCACACAGCCTGAACCCACAGACCAAGGTGGAGGGAGAAGATGCTGTGTGCTAACTCAGAAAGGTGATAAGCCCCTTCCAAGTGTATTTGCATATATGGCTTTAGGTTATGAGAGAGAAGCCCCTCGTCCACAAGACTGGTGTCCTTTCTGGGTGTCCTGTGCATAGCTGTCCAGTCATCGTGTGTGTGAGGTCCGTGAGTCCCCAAGGACACTACATCTAAGCTCTCACAAGTTTTTCATTTTAGCTCATACTGGTGGGATTTTTTTTTCTTCTTTCAACAAGTCCGGAAGCATACAGTTCTTCACTCCCTCCCTTCCCCTTTTCAAAATACGAAAGTAAACATTTGGAAGGCCCCGCGTTTAAAAGCTGTGTGGTGTCCCCTGTGAAAGTGAGTGGTCGTCTGCGCCCCGGGTGCCCGAGTCCACGCGCAGGGAGGCGGTGGTGGCCGTCCCTCCCGCCCACGCTCATCCCAGCGCCTGGCCCTGCACTCTGCCCCCCACCCCTATACCCTGCATCACTCGTCCTCAGAGCAACGCGATGAATAAAGTTGTGCTTTATTCGTAAACGCCTCCACAGCGGCTTTTGTTTCTTATCCCCCCC